GAAGTCGGTGCACTCATAATCCTTGGTGGTCCCTGGTGGGCATGATCCCAATGGTAACCCAATCGAACTATATAGGTGACATGTTTCTCAAAAGGCGAGGCCAATCGATCATGACACAACGGGTCACCAATGAGTGTATCCAAGATCACCTCATAATCTCGCTGCGACACAAAAGATTTCAAGAATTCAATATCTCATTGCCCAGTGGCCGAATTAATCAAAGAGCTCACCATCAATGTTCTAGTGACAGACACCACACTCATTGGTTCCGGTCTACCCAATAAGACGTATGGGAGCCATCGATCTTTCCAAACTTGAACCTCTCGACCATTCATAATTTTCCAATGAGCGCCCATCATCAATATATCTTGTCCCGCCAATAAACTAGACCAAGCCCAGGAAGCTCGTCCTCCCTGCTTAGATTCAAGGAAAGAACAATTGGGAAAATATCAAGCTTTAAGAACTTGTGCCCACAATGTATGCGGCTCCTGTATCAATCTCCAACATTGTTTGGCCAGCAGAGCGTCGTTAAAAGATTCAAAATTCCTAAGACCAAGTCCACCTTCAACCTTAGCGCTACATAACCTCGCCTTGGAGACCCAATGGATGCGGTTTTCTCCACTTCGTTGCCCTCACCAAAATTTCAAAGTCATGGCATCAAATTCATTACATAATGTCTTAGTGAATTTAAACAGGTTCATCGGGTATGCTGGGATTGCTTGTGCCACAGCCTTGATCAAGACCTCCCGCCCCGCTTGTGAGAACGTTGATTGTTGCCAACCTTGCAGTTTCCCCAAAAGTCGTCCTATAAAATGTGGGTGATTGGTCCAGTAGTGGCACCCAAATTGTTTTTCAAACACCCAATTCTTTTCCCAGTGTCTCCATCCTCATCAATACCTCTTCAACCACCAGACTCCTCCCGCTTCCAAAGAAATATTGGTATCTCGACGGCCTAACACTCGACGGTCCAAGACTAGGCGTCAAATACCCTCACTCCTTCACTAGACCGACATACGCCAATCTCCTCCCAAAACTCCAGCTCGAATGCCCCTCTTTCTTCTCCGCTAGCTAGGCTAGTTGGAGTCCCGCCGAGGTAATGTTTCTTTCAAGATTAAATTTTTAGGATTTTTTTTGTTATGGATTTGTTCCGGTATTCTGATTAACAGAGCAAACGCACAACAAGAAAAAAAGGCTAAATATTCAATCTTGAAAGAAGCATAACCTTGGCGGGACTCCCAATCAACCCCGTTGGCGGGGGAGTGGAGCTCTAGTTTTGGAAGACATAGGCGTATGTCGGTCTAGAGGAGTCTGGTGATTGACGAGTGCCCAGTCTTGGACCGTCGAGATACTAACTTTCTAGGATTTTGGCTCCACCCACCTTTTAATTTGTTTAATTTTCGCGCGACGAATATCTTGTTGTGGTTGTAGCATGCATTCGGACAATACCACTTTCCCTTGAATCTCGTCTCAGGTGTCAGCCCAACACACGCATAATGGAACCATTCACCTCCTTGGCACTGACAGCAAATAAAAATCACCATAATAAAGAAATATAACATTGCATAATTAAGATTAACCTTGCTTATTTTTAGTTTTAGTAGGGCCATTGACAACCAATACGATCTTTGTAGCCAAGCTGGAAAAGGATATGCAACTAGCAAACCACCAGAATTCTCAGAGTAACTAGTTTTAAATCTAGGATCTTCTCCATTAATTTCCCAGGGAGGGGGAATTCATAGGCACTCTTAAAGAATCATAAGGCATAGAGAACCCTAGGAAATTAATGCATAGATGCATTCGATTCAAAATAAAAACATGAAAGATAATTAACCAGATAATGAGAGAGAAAAGGAAGAAAAAAACAATCAAGCCAGAATGACTTATGTTTCATTGTCACAAGCAATCGTGTCTCTGAAAGAGACCTGAAAAATCACGATAGTTCCTTTACTTTAAAACATGCGGCAGAGATTTTCAACATAAGTGAAGAATGTAGCACAAACTAAAAATAAAGGTGTAAATAAATAGGCAAAACCTGATGGCAAACGCAGTAGGTAGGTTCGTTTGGATATTCCTTTTTATAGCTTCCTGCATGAGCTCATCGTCCCTACGATAATCAAGCCTTTTTTATTGAGGTGTTCGGTGTTCCATAGATATATAGACTTGCGCTTTTCATTTTTAGGAAATATCGGTAATGGAGGTAGATAAATGAAATCATTTTTATCAAATATGGTATCAGAGCCTTCTCTGTCTAACGACTTTGATCTCATCGCTCCCGTTTCTCTCCCTACCTTGTTCGATCTCTTATTCGATCGATTCTCTTGATCTCTTGATCTTGTTCAAGTTTCTTGATCTCCTGCTCGAATTTAGCCATGGTATCTCCTTCGTCAGAATCGGCTTCTCCTGTTCATCCTGTTCTGACTGCTTCTCCAAACCTTAATTCTCTGAATTCCGTCTCCATCACGATCCAAAACATCAGATCTATGGTGCCAATCAAGCTCACCACCACAAATTACTTGACCTGGAGTGCTCTATTTGCTTTGATTTTTCGTCGTTACAACCTCACCGGTCACATTGACGAATCTATGGTGGCGCCGCCTCAATTTCTTGATTCTTCGGGAAATCGCACTTTCAATCCTGAGTTTGTTTCATGGTATGAGAATGATCAAAATATTCTCATCTGGATCAATTATACCCTCTCTGAATCCCTCATTCCCTATACGGTTGGTGTGAATTCTGCTCGCGAACTTTAGGCGAAGTTGGAATCTCGCCTCGCCACAGCTTCTCAGTCTCACATTCATGAGCTTCGATCTCGTCTTCGTAATCTTACCAAGGGTGATTCTACTGCTGCTCAATATCTTCAGTAAATTGAGGCAATTGTTGATACTCTTGCAAATGCCGGCTCTCCGGTGGACAATTCTGATTTACTTTCTGTCACTCTACATGGTATGCCCCTTGAGTATGATTCGTTCGTTGATGCCATTCAATTCCGTCTTGGATCCACGACTATTGATGAGCTGCATGGTCTGTTGCTTAGCAAAGAGATACAATTAGTCAATCAAAGAAAAACCACCTCAGACTCCTCTACATTTCAGGCTCTCAACAGTTATGCCGGTATTCTTCCTCTTCCACCTCTCAACCCTAACTCTCAGTCTTCTTCTGCCTTCACTACTCAAGGTCGTGGCATGGATCACAATTATAATCGTGGCTACTCCAATCGAGGCAATTTCATATCCTCTTATCATGGTAATACTAATCGTTCCATCAATACCAATCATCGTGGCAATTTTCATTACAATCGTGGAGGCCGCTAACATTTATCATCTTACACCAAGAAGACTCCGTGTCAAATTTGTCATCAGTTTGATCATGAGGCCTCTGATTGCCCTCATCGCATGAATCCAGCTTATGGTGGCAAGCCCTCTCCCTCAGCTATGGTAGCCAATCCCTCATCATCCACTCCATCTTGGATTGTCGACTCTGGCGCTACATCTTATATGACCAACTCTTATGCAGCCTTGCAAAATCCTAAAGTCTATATTGGTCCAGAACAAGTGTAATTGGTGATGGCAAAGGTTTGCCTATCACTCACTCTGGCTTTACTACTTTGACCACATCTGATAGTACTTTTAAGCTTAATAAAGTACTATATGTTCCTGCATTACAACATAATCTTCTCTCTGCAAATCAATTTCTTATTGATAACAAATGTTCGATGCATCTTTATCCTACTCACTTTACTGTGAAGGATCTTTCTTCGGGGAGGATGAGTTTTAAAGGATCTGTTCAGCATGGTTTCTATCCCTTTCATTTCTCTTCTTCTACACCTGCTCAACAGCATGCTCTCATTGCATTTGTCAAGGCTTCCAAGGATGTGTGGCACCAGAGATTGGGTCATCATTCCGTCAAGATCATTGATAAACTTGCAGCACAATCTTGTATTTCAGTTTTATCTCATTCAACTAAGTCTTTTTGCTCAGATTGTGCACTAGGAAAATGTTCTCGGCTTCCTTTTACTTCTACAGTTTGTACAACTAGCAAGCCACTTGAACTTGTACACACGGATGTTTGGGGACCATCACATGTAGCTTCTTGTCAAGGTTTCAAATATTATGTCATCTTTGTTGATGACTTTACCCGTTATTGTTGGTTCTATCCTTTGAAGTACAAGTCTGATGTAATGTCCACTTTTATGCAATACAAATCTCTTGTTGAAACCTCTCTGTGTACAAAGATCATTGTTTTACGATCCGATTCTGGTGGTGAATATGTGAACACTCAGTTTTCACAGTTTTTAGCTACACATGGTATTCAGCATCAACTCACTTGCCCTCACACTCCTGAACATAATGGATGTGCCGAATGCAAGCATCGCCACTTAGTTGAAACAACTCGGACAATGCTAGCAGCTTCTAAGCTACCTCATACTTATTGGGTTGAAGCTTTTCACATAGCCATTTATCTTATCAACCGAATGCCAACTGCATCACGACCATCTCCTTGGAAATCTTTATATCATCGGGTACCTAACTACAATTTCCTGAAGGTCTTCGGCTGTGTTGTTTCCCTTTGTTAAAGCCTTACACTTCTTCTAAGTTGGATCCTCGGAGTAAAGCTTGTGTATTTCTTGGTTACAGTCTGAATCATAAGGGCTATAGGTGCCTTGATCCTGCCACCAACAGGTTATACATCTCTCGGCATGTTATCTTTAATGAATCTCATTTCCCATTTCACTATATTTCATCTTCTCAATCTTCAATCTCACATTCCTCTTCTGGATATCCTATTCCCTCCACTCTTACTTTTAAACTTCCTACACCTTCACCTCTATCTTCATCTACACCTACACATCCATCTACCATGTCTCCCTCTTCTCAGATTCCTATCTCACCTACCCATATTTTGTCTTCTTCCATACTCACATCTTCTCATTTTTCTATGGAAGTTGCATCACCTTCTCTCATTCCCTCTCTCAATACTCATTCCATGCAAACACGGTCAAAATCTGGCTCTTTCAAGCCACGGGCATTTACTGCTACTAAACACCCTCTCCTTTCTCTTCTATCTCCTGATTATATACCTACTACATATCTCCAAGCTTCAAAGTCTTCTCATTGGCATCAAGCTATGCAAGAGGAAGTCAATGCCCTCATCAACACTGGCACATGGTCTCTTGTTCCCAAGTCTACATCTCAGAATATTGTAGGCTGCAAGTGGGTGTTCCGAATTAAAAGAAAACCCGATGGTACTATTGATTGGTATAAGGCTCGCCTTGTGGCCAAGGGATTCAATCAACAAGAAGGTTTAGATTACACAGAGACTTTCAGTCCGGTAGCAAAACCTGTTACTATTCGAATTCTTCTCACCTTTGCGGCTCAGTTTGATTGGTATTTAAATAAACTCGATGTCAACAATGCTTTTCTACATGGGACACTTACTGAATCTGTTTTCATGCATCAGCCTCCTAGTTTTGAAGATTCTACGCAGCCATCTCATGTCTGTCACCTGCACAAATCCTTATATGGTTTGAAACAAGCTCCGAGAGCTTGGTATGAGAAGCTTCATGGTGCTCTTCAGTCACTTGGTTTTCATAGCTCTTCCAGTGATCATTCCTTGTTCATTAAAAAGGTTTCCAACTCTGCTGTGGTGTTCATTTTAGTGTATGTTGATGACATTTTAGTCACTGGACCCAATTCTGCTGAATGTCGAAAGGTTATTCATCAACTTAGCTCCCTGTTTCCCATTAAAGATCTCGGACCTCTTCATTATTTTCTTGGTCTTGAAGTCAAACGCTCATCTTCTGGTATTTTCATATCTCAGACCAAATATATTGTGGATCTGCTTTCCAAGGCCAACATGACTAGTGCTAAACCCTGTACCACACCTCTTAGCACTTCTAAGCTTAATCATGACTCCCCTTTGTGCGATAATATCTCTGAGTATCGATCCTTGGTTGGTGCACTTCAATACCTTACAGGGACACGACCGGATCTTAGTTTTGCAGTGAATCTTGTCTGTCAATTTATGCATCAACCCAGAATTTCCCATTTTCAAGCAATCAAGCGCATTCTTCGATATCTTAAGGGCTCCATTGATCTTGGTTTATGGTTTTCCAAAAGTTTTACACCTCCCACACTAACTGCATTCTCAGATGCTGATTGGGCTGGCTGTGCCCTTGATCGTCGATCTACTGGAGGGTATTGTGTTTTTCTGGGCAATTCCTTGATCAGCTGGAGTGCAAAGAAACAACCCATTGTTGCTCGATCTTCAATAGAGGCCGAATATCGCTCTCTTGCCAATACTGCTTCTGAAATCACTTGGGTCTATCAGTTGTTACTCGACATTGGTTATTGTTTGCCTCACACTCCTCAAATCTGGTGTGACAATTTCTGTAATATCTCTTGCTAAGAATCCTTTATTTCATGCTCGGACCAAGCATGTGGAAATAGACTATCATTACATTCGTGAGAAAGTCTTAGCTCGTAAGATCTCTATGCATTTTGTTTGTACCCAAGATTAAGTTGCTGATATTTGCACAAAGTCTCTGTCAAAATCCAGATTTCATTTCCTTCGTGGCAAACTTCAACTTCGGATTCCCCGGTTTTGTTTGAGGGGGAATATAAAGGGTAATATTGTAACTACACTATCTAGGGATATTACTTAGTGATTAAGTATTAGTTAGTTATAGTTTACTCACCTTAGTGGTTACAATAAACTTGTATATATATACTCAAAGTGTAAACATTATTGATTGGATAAATGAAATCATTTTTATCAAATAGAATTCATCTGGTGTTATATATTTTTCCTTCTGAGAATATCAGAAAGCACATATTGAAATCAACTAGTCAAAACATTTATTAACTACTGTCGAGCAGTTAGTATGGCTTAAACGAGTTCAACTCATTTCAGCTTTGAAATTGTTCAAATTTCTAACCATTGTCTTCGTATCCGTGCTCTATTTACACTTCAAGTGGCCAAATATACTCTAGTTCCAAAATTCATTAAATGGTTTACAATCCCTTCAAATATATTGCACACTAGACTTTTACAGACTGCTGTACCATGCTTCAAATCTTCCGCAAAGTAATTCAGATCCGCATTTGCAGACGTTTGATTGCAGAAATGGTTTTATATAAAATGGTTGTATAAATTTCATTGTTTAACTTTTGTTTTAATGTTTTCTTGATTGAAGGAATCCATTTTACTTCTTAAATGGAAAATTAATTTATTAATTGTAATGTAGATCAAGAGAAGACTTCTTGCTGCTCATGCCTCTCTCAAATGTTAATTATGTTATACATATGCGTTCTCGAGGAGACGCCACCGTGGGGTTCCAGATGAATATCTAGCATTGTTACCATTATTTCAAAGAGTTCAAGCATGCTTGGGAAGTACTGGATTAGTTTGTTTAAGGATTACGGTGGAATCCATTTCTTGACGGAATTCAGTCACCTCTGGTACCATCAAAGTTCCAACCTTGCTTAGAAGAATCCTGGCCAGTAATATTGCAGGCAATTGCATTGGATGCAGTTCCTGTGAATACTGAAGAGAACGAGTATTCAAACTCCACTCCTCAAAATAAATCAAGAAGTAGCTTATTGTCCGGACATTGCATGGTTGAACTGGAATCCGAAGAATATCAGTTTCTTTGGGGATTTGCTCTACTTGTCTTATTTCAGGGCCAAATTCTACCCTTGGTGAACTGAAAAGTTTAATTTTTTTCATTAAAGCTAGTAACGGTGAAGATTCAGCTAGTGAAGAATTATCTTCTCCTAATTACTTTCTTAGTAATTTGAAAGAGAATCTGAGAAGAGGGAGAGAGATTTTAAAACGTGACTGACGTCTGGGCCTTCATGGTTAGCCCTCTATACTAGATTTGTCCGGATTGATCCTGGGCTGGGGTTTTTGATTTTTCACAAACATTATGCATTATTGTCATGGAGATTTGGGGCCAGATCTGTTGACAACAAAACAAAGCTTCTGGAGTTTGGTGAGTGTCACGACTTCACCTACTTAAAAGGTCTAGTAATATTTTTTTTTTACCTATAAGTGAGAGGTCTTAGGTTCAAGTCTCGTAATTGCATTTATCATCAACAAAGATGCTGCAAATATAGGTTGTTGACCTTTCATGTTTATGCAAATGAAGGCCTAAACCAAGGTAGAGATTATATACATGAAATGTGTTACAATGCATGATATGCATAGAAATAAGCACAATTAGTTAGTGCCTAGTGCCTAGTGATGGTGTCATGGCTCTGAAGAAGGCGGGGGCTTGGAATTTGATAGATATTGGAGCCACTCTTCTGGAGTTCCCTTTCTCATTTTCAGCATTTTAATTGCTGCACTTGTTAGTGGTATTGCAAGTATGTCATAGTCTTTTGGAGCCTGCGAAATCAATTCAATTCAATTCAATTGTATGCATCTTAATTTGTAGCCAGGCTCACTCACTCATGCCATTAACATGTAAAAGAAAGAAAAAACAAACAAACAAATCGAAATAAATTACCTTGGGGACTTTCATCAGCTTCATATTTGCTTCTTCCAACGTCTTCTGACCTTTCTTCGAGTTGCACCTTGCACATGCGGTGACCTGCATGTTAAGCGTTCACAAGAGAATTCAACCACAACAGTACCTAAACACATGTACCTGCCATATATCCCAGTTTCATAATTGATGTTACAACTTGTATGGTAGCAGCATGACGAATGTATTTAGCACTTTCTGTGCAATAATTGCATTCAATTTATGCCATCAAGGTCTTATTTTCTCCTTCGAAGTAAAGGGTTTCCAGAGGAATCAGATGGACAATGAACAAAAAACAGCTACAGAATGCTACTCCATTTCAGTGATCATTCGTTCATGGAGCATCCATTATAAAAGTCGATGGAAATGAGCATCCTTTCTCGTAATCTTAGTGAGGTTTTGGATAATCCCAACTGTTGTACATCACTTTACTGAAAGTTGGAGCTATTTTATTCGATAGCTAATGCCCACATCGCATAATGATAATACTGCATCTTGTTATCATACTCAGGAAAGAGAATTAAGCACCGCTACGGAGTCTGATTTATGCATCAAGAAATCAAATCTTCAAATGGAACTGGTCATCTTACCAGATTATCCCACTTCCACTGTCCACCGCGTGCAATTGGGAAAACATGATCAATGGTCAAGTTTTCACGTGAAGAGCAGTATCTGTTAAGAGAATAGATATAGAAATAAGTCAGTATTCAATTCCAAATGAATAACCCCTGCCCTCGTGGAACTGGAACTGGAAATAAAAAAAATTATCTAGAATTTCATGGTCATTAAAGTTCTGTTGTTGGTTACTTCCCGGAGAACAGCTCACTTAATTCTAAGCTACATACGTCAGTCAGGATGCAGACAGGTTTTCCAGACGTCCAAAGGCAAAACCAGTAGCGAAGATTCTGAAGCCTAATAATGTGTGCTATGAATTTCAACTGTTTGATATCAGATATTGTGAAAAATCGTCTCTAATACACAATAAAAAGAAAATACAACGAATACTTTTCTTTAAAGTGTAAGAACTTATAAAGATTTTAATTCCTCGGCTTTTACGCATTGTCCAAAACTGATTAATGCCACATTAATCAGTTTACCTGTCTAGATCTGTAACTCTTAAACCAGTACCTGCAGCTGGTGATCAAGTGATAATAAATTGTGTTGGTTGAGGGATGCAACTCCGAAACTCTTGGGTAACCCTGCATTGAACCTGATGCATCAGGTCTCCTGCAACTTTCTATTCCTCATCTTTACGCTGCCTGATTGAATGGGGCCTTCTTCACTGAAATATGTTTGAAGATTCCCTCATTCTTACTACTTGATGAATTTTTCTCCTTTCATTATCACAGCCAACACAATTCTTTCACCTCTCAACCTTCTCTTTCCACAGTGTTAACAATGTAAATACCTCATGTTTACAGGCACAAGTAAAACCATGCCATTTTGGAGTAATTAATAGTATCAAGAAACTGATGAAATAAGTAAAACCGCCACCAGAAGAAACAAGAGATATGTCTCCACAAATTCATATAGACTTAATCCGAAACACCTTGCAAGATGTCATATCCTGCAACAAATCTCTGTGCGATACCATCATTGATATCTGAGATCAATGTAGACACATAACACTGTATTCCTTTTTCTCCTGAAGGTACACCACTAGAGGTCTATTGGTCCTATAGGCTACATAGAGATAACCTATCTCATCTCATAACATCTCACATCCCTAGTTAAGGTGAGATTCAGTTCCAGGTCTTTGGTATGACTACAAGAGACTGTATGAGCCAGTCTAGCTTGCAACGTTCATTAATTAGCCTCCTAAGACGCATGTGCTTAATCCAACTCTCATCTAATAAGAAGCAATTATGTAATCAAACTAAGCACAAAAGAGATTATCTGTACTTAATTCAGCAACTTTAACTTGACTAAAAGGGTAATCTACTTACTGACAAGTGAAACTGTCCCGACATAGTATATTTTTACGACTGAGACTGTTCTTAATTCTTCTTCTCTTTACAATCTGCAGTAAATGGGGAACCTGGAACCAGAAGCAAACAAATGTACTCAGTCCAAATGGATAAGAAGAAACAAGGGGAAAATGCAAATGAGGATGTCAATCCCATGCAAAAACACAATGCAATGAGTTAACAAAGTACCCTTAGGACAGCCGGGATGTAGTAGGATCCGCTTGGGGAATTTACAGTCTGGTCATAGTATTCAAGTACATCAGCCTGGTACAAGAGAAAATTTGAACCCATTAAATCCATGTATTGTAATTTGTAAGCAGGCAGAATATTCAATAGGAGCCTGTCCTGAGAATGGCAGGTACATTTGGTTTTGAAGAATATTTCTCTGTTTTATCATCTTTGATGACAAATGCCATCACAAATTAATAACTGTAGAACAACTCATCCTTTTATTACTGTTGGAAAATTGCTAAGATGAACAACTGAGCAGCGGCAGTCCCACCTTCTCCATGAATTCCAAGCAAATAGCACGCTTCCAGCATACAACATTAACCGGCCTGCCACAGTAGAACAACAATCTCAATCAGAAGTATTGTAAAGTGGTAGAGAAGAAACAGGGAAAGAAACTCAAGAATCAACAGTTTTCGGCTTATGAATTTCTTACAGCATAAATACAAAGAAATCAAACACAAACTGAGAAACTGTTATCAAGGAATCTAATGAGAAGATAGTACTCCATGACAAGAGCAATGTCAGCAATGAAATTCAGGCCCTCAGGCCTCGATAATCGACATAGCCAACAAGACCACGAGATGGCTATTATATTGTACAATAAGCGTATCCTGTAGATGAGCTTGATGCTAAGCATCCACTAATCTTTCCCTTTGAAAGTATAAAGAAAACAAGCACGGGGACGCAGTAAATGTACAAGTATAATCCAATTCAAAAATAGTTTGAGTTTAAAGCAATATCGTACATGTAATCACTGTACTGTAGCAGTAGCACTGATGAAATGAAATTCTTCCAGTTTAGACACAAGAAAGAAGAAACCAAAATTTAATTATTTATTAGTTTTAAAATTAAAAACAAAAACTTGGTATTACAGAATTAACCACGATATTAGTTAAATGCAAATGATGAACGTCAGTACCAAATAGTCCAGAGTGCAGTGCAGCTGTGCAGGTAAAGTGAAGTGAGAGGTGAGCAGACCTGTAGGAGATATCCAAGACGAGACCTCTGAAGCAAGACAAGTCATCGTCCCTTTCATAGTACTCAACATGACCACCATCGTCGTCACCGCCATAAACACCGTCTCCCTCATCATGATCACCACCACCGACAAACAAATGGGCCTCGGAGTTGAAGCGTTTCGCCTTGTTCCTAGAAGAAGAAGAAGAAGAAGAAGAAGAAGAAGAAGACGAAGAGTAAAGCCTGGTAGAATCCAATGATCTGAGGCAGCGCCTGCGCCTGAGAAGCTTGTGGGGTTGGATTGATGTGAAGAGCTGCATGTTTTGATCCAACCCCAACCCCAGCCCCCAGCCCCAACTACAGGCCAACTTCACTCGTCGTCCTCCTCCTCCTTGTGCTGTCGACGACAACTGTGCAGCCATTTCCAAATTAAGTAATTGATCAGTGGTTAATTCTGGTATTGCAAATGTTGTGTATTGGTTGGTTTATTTCTTCTCCTCCTCCTCCAAATGACGAGTCTAAATGAAAGTCTTTATTTCGCATTTTTCATGTTTTTGACACTTACGCAAAAATGCGTCGCCACATATTTTTGCACACGCTCCCTGTCTTCCACTCGGAATATCTTCTTCTAGGGTCATGCAATTGACCAATCTGCCCTTACATTATTTGCTAGCCTTTGCTTCGTGCAACATGATTGCATACGTAATACATACATACATACATACATACATACATACATGCATACATGCATACGTAAATACATACATACATACATATTCTGGATTCCGAAGCAGAGAGACAGTCAGTCCTTGGCAAATTTCATTCCATTATCTAAACTACATATTAATGAAACTCACTATGTCAACCAAAAGCGGATGAAAAGACATTTTTGCCTTCTATCACAACAAAAAAGTTAAAGACAACAACGTAATTTCACAAAACAAAATTTTATTGTTTTTATTTAAACCTTACTTACAAATGATTTTATCATCTCTAAATTAAAAAATAAAAAATATAAATATAAATCTCTCTCCCAGTCTCCCCACTTGCCGGTCTCTCCCACTCTCTTCCTCACTCCTTCAATTTTAAGAACAAAAGTAAAGAATTTCATACACATTTTGTGTGTGGGCATGTACTAGTATTAATAAACGAAAGGCATCTTATCACAAGTCACAATATCCGTCCCCAAAAGTCGACGTAGAACTAGAAGAGAATAGTACAAGAGTTTTGATTCGACACTCGAAACCAAACCTCCATCAAGCATTCAAGCCTTGATTTGTTTATCCGGAGAAGAAACTGTAAGAGTTTCATCCGAAAGCAATTGAGCTTCAAATTAGCAGAAAAGAAATTGCAAATAGAATTTGTCCACTATCACCACGTCTTTCTTTCTTTTACAATTGAATTCACAATGATTGAATCAAGATACAACCACAAACCAAACATACATACAAGCAGTAAAATTACCAACAAACAATCAGCATTGAACAGTCTTTTGCTGTTTCATGCACTACTTATGTTCCACTTCTACCACAATAACACAATTCCTAATTCCCAAAAGCAGGTCCAAACTCTCTCTGACTCAGAAATCGGAGAATCAGGACTCGTAGATCGAAGCTGTGATCCATGAGATTTCTCTCTCTTTTTCCATAAAGAATAGGAAAAGCTCCTCCTCATCCTCATGCTTATCAAATCCAATTGGTTTGATGGTCTCCAAGTGTTAAAGAACCCCTTGTCACAAAAGAAAAAATATGAAAATGAAAACTAATATTGTAGCTTTCAATACAAGAATGAAAAGTTAAAGAACCTTGAGAATCCGACTTACCTATCCACTATCCAGGGCTTCAATATTAAGAAAGGCAAAGGCAATCCTCACCTGGAGTAACCAATCGCTACCAAGTCCTTAAACATTCAAATTCCAGAAAGAAGCAGTAGCTACCAGAAATTGGACACGGCAGAGCTAGTGCACACTGCTGAAGTTTGGTTTTGGCCGCCTGAGAAAGTAAATGAAGAGCTAATGTGAGATTTCAGATGACAGATTTCTGCATATTACAAGGCTAGCTAACAGAGTCACATAAGATTAACAAGCCATGGTCCCTAAAATTCTGTACAAACAACAGTAAAAGGAAATTGCTGGTTTCAGTTCGTACCGGTAATTCTATAAAAGGAAACTTCAGTAGGGGGCTCAATCATATGAAGTGATTGAAATCCTCCGTGCAAACAATGATTTCCTCCTCATAACCTTTTGACCGTCTTACCAGTAATCTCTACAAGAACAAGCACCATCTTTGAAATGATGAAAACGATAAGCATCTCGTACTATGATAGTTCGATTACAAATCTTCGACGTGTACTTGATCCAATTATGGCAATCATTGCAAACACGAAGATTCTTCATTACACGTATAGGAACAGCATTAGATAAGTTGAGTAGGCCAAAAGAAATTGCCAATTTCTCACTGTGGATATATACTGTTGGATCCTTCTGCTTCTGTTCCATATCATTCCAAAGGTTGGAACGATCCTCAACATAACCAATTTCAGCTGCCCGCTCATTCAAATCCCCTAAGAATTCATAAATCGTATCTGCAAGTGGGTGCAGTCGGTCACCGACAAAGAAGGCATGAACTGAATTCTTGACCTCAATCCAGCTACGACCGGGCTCTTTCTTCACACCCCTTTCCTTCATCAATTGCCTCGTCTGATCCCTACGATCCCACATTCCTGACACTGCGTACATATTGGATAGCAGCACGTACGTTGCTGAGTCTTCAGGTTCCAGTTCTAGAAGATGGTTGGCAGAAAACTCTCCAATTTCAGTGTTCTTGCGAGTTATGCAAGCACTTAAAAGAGTCCTCCAAATCATTGCATCTGGTTTCACTGGCATCTCCTCTATAAACTTTCTGGCACGGCTCAGAGAACCAGCTCTACCTAGAAGATCAACAACGCAAGCATAGTGTTCAGGCTTAGGCACTAACCCATGCTCTTTTCTCATGGATTCAAAGTAGCCAAGCCCTTCATTTACCAAGCCTATATGGCTACAGGCTGTAAGTACCCCCACAAATGTGACATGGCTTGGTGCTATACCAAGTTGTTTCATCTGCTCAAATAGGTGTATTGATTCAATACCACGCCCATGTTGAGAATAGCCAGTGATCATGGCATTCCAAGAAATCTCATTTTTTTCAGGCATTTCAGAAAACTCTCTCTTGGCATCATCAATGCTACCACACTTTGAATACAATGTGATTAACGCATTGGAAACCTCCGTTTCGGAATTGCTGCCAGTTTTTATAATTGTGGCATGAATCTGCTGCCCTTGTTTTATATTTGTTAAGTTAGCAGCAGCGCTAACTGCAGAGCCAAATGTGAACATGTTAGCTTCTATTCCAGCTTTATTCATCCGAGTAAATACCTGCAGTGCTTCCTCATAGTTCCCACTCTGTGCAAACCCAGATATCAATCCATTCCATGACATATTATCTTTAGAATCAGTTGCCTCAAATGCTCGGTACGCTTCCTGTATTCTACCACATCTAGCGTAAAGGGTAACAAGTGCATTTCCAACTGAAAGATCATCTGAATAACCAAAGACACACGACTGAGCATGAATTTGTCTTCCTTGACGAAGTGCTTGAATACCAGCACATGCACTTATTGCACTTGAAAATCCTATGTTGTCAGACTGAATCCCTCGCCTTTGCATTTCTTCAAAAAGTATCAGAGATTCAGAAAATAGATCATGCTGTGCATACCCGGCTATCATAGCTGTCCATGAGACGACGTCATCTGCAGTGAGTCGTCTGAGAATTCTCAGGGCGGTATCCAGCTCCCCATGCTTAGCATACATATCAATGAGCACACTACAGACATAAACATTAAAATGAAAACCAGTTTTTATGACTTGAGTATGTATCTGCTCTCCCAAATTGAGAGCTCCAACAGAGGTACAGGTTCTTAGGATACTAGGGTAGGTGTACTGATTAGGAATCATGCCCTCAACATGCATTTGCCTAAATATCCGAAATGATTGATCCAGATCATCCAACTGACCATAAGCAACTAGCATTACATTCCACAGGACCACATTTTCTGTCTCTGTTGTAAGGAAAAAATCATAGGCAGTTTGCACATCTGAGCATTTCACATAAAGATCAAGCAGAGAACCTTCAAGGATAATATCTGATGACATTCCCGCTTTTATTGCAAGTGAGTGGAGTTGTTTTCCCTTCTGCAGAGCACCAATTTCGGCGCATGCGCTCAAAAGACTAGCAATTGTAACACAGTCTGGTCTCAAACAATCAATCTGCATTCTTTTGAACAATTCCAATGCTCTATCACTAAATCCGCACTGAGCTAACCCAGAGATCAGTGAGTTATAAGATACTGCATCCCTGTGCCACATTGTTTTGAAAATTTGTTCAGCAGATATAAAGTTCCCTGAGCGGGAATATAACGTCACAAGTGCATTGCATACATATGTTTCACAAGAAAAACCCCCCTTGAAAATAAGTCCATGCAGTTGCTCTCCCATCTTAAATAACTCTATTTTGGCGCAGGCACTTAGCACGCTGGAGAACACATAAGGAGTGGGTAAAATATCTGACGTTTGCATCTCAATGAATAAGAGAATTGCTTCTTTTTCGCGTCCATTCTGAGATAAACCAGAAATCATGGCAACCCAGGAAACGCTATCCCTTATATACAATTTATCAAAGACCTTTTTAGCAGCATCTACAGACCCGTTTTTGGCATACAAATCAATCAAGGGATTACACACAAGCAAACTAGTACCAAAACCATGACAGATAACCCTAGCGTGAATCTGTTTGACATATTGAAGATGAACATTACTGCCACCACATGCCCTTAAAACCCTGGAAAACGTGGTCTCATCAGGATGCACATTATCTGCTAACATTCGGGAAAAGAAATCCAATACTTGACTGGTCAACTTGTTTGCAAGAAACACTTGAATTATGTTATTCCATGAAAACAAACTTCTGTAGGGCACATCATCAAAAACCCTAACTGCGCAATCTAAATCACCAGCGGCAAGGTAAGCATCAATAAGGCCATCGCATATTACATGTTCAGCATCAAAACCCAGCTTCAGAATCCTAGAGTGAAGCTTTTTAGAATCTAACAAGGAACCGGAATTGGAGCAGCCTTTTAAAAGCCAAATATATGTCTGACAATTAGCACGAACACTACGTGTTTCCATGGAATGCAGGAATTCAATCCCCTTTGGATTATTACCTTCATTTTGATGAAGTAGAGAGTCGTCGAGGACATGGGCATTGGCTGCTGCTGCATTACTAGTATATTCTTCTGGCGAGCTCAACCGGATGACACTCCCACGAAAGCGCTGCAGAAAATTTAAAGCATTAAAGAGCCAGAACAAATCAAGGTGGCGGTGCACAAGAGAAAGAGAATTAAGAAAGAGTGATTACTACAACCTTGTGAAGATTGAAACTTGAGGTGGGTTTGGGTTTGGTTGTGAAATGAAGCGGCGGGAAGCGATGGAAGAAGAGGGGGTCGGGGAATTGGTGGAGAGTCAGAGCGAGCATCAAAGATTTGAGACAGCCAGAGCCACTCATCTGTCGACAGTCTTTCACTGAACGGAACTCAACTGCTGATATCTGTTGAATTCCACTTGTGACTTGTCGGAGAAAAACACTCGGCCGGCGGGATTAGTTTACTTTTTGGCGGCGGCTCTGCAAGTCAAGTCACAGCGAGCGGCTATGGATGTATCGTATGTATGTATGTATGTATGTATGCTTGAGCGAGAGTGTGTGTTTTGGGGTCCTCACCTCAATAGTCAAAAGATAACAGGGAACTTGTTTGTTTTGGGCGGCGTGAAGAAGGCCCGGCCGTCGCAGCGAACTTGTTTGTTTGTTTCAGTTCAGCCTTCAGCCTTCAGCCTTCAGCGGCAGCGGCCTAATTAATTGTAATTTAATTTGCACGTGGAATTGAGGAATTCTTCTAGGTCATTTTTATTTCTTACGATTACTTGCCAATTACCATCGACAGACATTATTTTGAATCATGCTTGCTTTATTAAACAAACTCAAATCATACTATATCTAACCATTTTTTTTTTTTTTGAAAAAAAAGGAGACCAGATGGGCAGTCCAGCCTTCCAAGGGACGGAAAGACTCACAGAAGCATTTCAACCTCACAACATGCCGCGTAAAATGCAAACTTAAAATTCATCCCAACCACTAATCCATCCCATAATGATTATGCTATAATATTATAGTTGATTACAACTTAAATAGTAGCAGCACTAGCCAGTCAGTCATTCATTCATTCTAAATTTGTTATTGAGTTGATTTGACAAGCAGAGCACGCTTGAATCACTGAATGGTGTTTCTCATTAACCAACCATTCATTCAAAATGACTTGCTCGACTCAAAAGTCGTTAGATTAGACACTGACTGAATCAGAAGGGTAGGAAACACAATACCATTGAGATTCAATCAAAATGTTTCTACTATCAAAACTGCAACGTTTTATTTATAAATTCCTCCGACATCACAAACAATCCCATCAACCCTGCCCTGGCGCATCATCTTGCCGCACCAAGTTACCAAACAACAACAACAACAAAGCTGCTTTTCCAGTTACATATTCACACCTAAGCGCTAACCCCTTCGCTACCCAACCAGAAATAACCAAAAATATGTCGCACCAGCACCACAAGGGATTGCCTACGACAGCACCGCAAGCTACCTTCAGAGATGCGTGTCTGCCTCCCAGCAAACGCTAACGTCGTCTGGTATAAGTAAGTAGGATCTAAAACAAGATATAACAGAAATCAATTAGCAATATGTTGCTGTTAAGAGAAACAACCACCCTAAATTAATTTGGGGAGTTACGGAGGGAAGGGAGGGCGCACCATTGCTGGACCTTCCTGAACTCTGTAAGGACAGGGTATATGTTTTCAAAGGCCTTGTATGTGTCATCCCTCACCTAACTCATCAAATTAAACAAAATGTTAGCAAATCGTCCAAACGCAAAAGCATGAGTAATTAAATAGCAACCGAACAACATAGACAAACAACAAATCACCTTTGCACCCGTAATAACAATTTTCCCCGACACAAATATAAGAAGAACAATCTTCGGCTGCTTCATTCGATATATCAGCCCCGGGAAAAGCTCTGGCTCATACTGCACCAGCATAACACAGGATAACACTATTTCTTTGCAAAAACCACTACGAAGCATACAAGTGGGCAGCCAGTACAATGTGTTCACAAGTCTTAGAAACAAAGGAAAGAGGACAAAATCCGTACAAGGCCTTACTTTGTACACCAAACTAAAAATTCAAAACTGCAGAATTTTGTTAATGCGCTCATACCCAAACTAAAATTTTAATCTCAATGAGCTCGATATTTTAGCCTAATAGGTCTATCCATTGTCCTATCACAATGTTCATACAAAGTAAGTGTTCTGTCTACGATTATTGCGTATATACGGCCCTTGTATTGGTCAAATGTATGTTCATAGCATTGATTAATTGAATGTGGGTCCATTGTATGTCTGGAGTCTTGAAGAAAGAAATACACCCAGTTTCAGCAAACTTTCTATGAAGTTCGCTTTGAGTTTAAAGTATTTTCAAGAAAGTATTTTAAGCAATGGACTCCTAGTTTCATAAAACCTTCGGAGGCATGCAAAATACGTGGATCTCGTTGACCATAAGCCCGTAAAATGAAAAACGCCCACATAAGAAGATAACTTGATCATATAAACATTGACATTAAATCATAAAACAAATCTAAAATCAATAAACAAATATTATGAAACAGAAAAGAAAAAAAAAAAAAACTATAATCATATTGAATCATATTAGGGTTATGAAATGCTAAAGCCTGGGATAAATGGTTCTCACTTACACTTGAAAAGGCACCGTGGGAGTATGCAAGACCCTCAAGTCTTATCGGAAATTTAACATCACAGGAGCCAACAATATTTTGAATCTTGAAATCCTGATGCCCAGAAAAGTATGTATTAAAAGAAGTAAGATACTCTTTAAGGGTTGAACACCTAATAGAGAGAGAGAGAGAGAGAGAGAGAGAGAGACCTTAAATTTAGCATTAAACCCAAGCTTTTGAATGATTCGAGCATACTGGGAACCAAAAATATCAAATCAGATGAAAGAACTCTGACACTATTCCTTGCAACCTAATTAAGATTCACTTTTCTAACTAAATGAAAAGATAATTATGGAAAGAATAATCATCAATAGTAAAACCACCCCCACTCCTGATAGTGACAAATAACAATTGAAAAAATATTTAAGTTGCAATACTTAAGGCTGATGCTCCAAAGCATGGGTAAAAGTCCACTTACACTCTACTCCAGAATTAAAATGCCTAAGATCGGGTCAAAACTTGTGAAACTCACATATAAAACTATGTTTGAATTAAAATGCCTAAAATTGGATCAAAACTTACGAAACTCACATATACCACTATGTTTTGCTATGTTAATAACAATCTGTAAGCATTCAACAGATACCTTCCTCGCTGCCAGTTTTGATTGATGTTCACTTTTTGCACCTGTGCATACCTGAAGTACCATAGACATTCAAAATTTAAATCTCTTAACCAGATGCCTCCAAGGTATGATGGGTGCATAACTCAAGATTTAAAATCATAAATAAGGGAGAGCGGGGAAAGTAGACGGTTATATCAAGTTGAAAAAGGATCGTCAAAATGCAATGCAATGCTTACCAGGGTTGTGGCATGAGGTAAACTTAAAGCCAAATTTATTACCATAGAAGTTCAGTATATAAACATGCAATTCAGCCATCTATGAAAATGAAACTCATAAAAGGATCAGTCCGTCACCAAATATATATCTTGAGCATCAAAATTTGTGAATTTAAGCATCAACACACTGTACATTTTCGACAAGACAAGCAATTCAGAAGGACCATAACCAATCAAACATACACTTTAATTCAGATTCAAATCATTCAATAGTCAAAACTAGCAAGAAAAAAACATGCTCCCCTTCTAAGGATATTCTCTGAATTAAGCAATATCATTACTTGACTGCACCCGACAATTGACACACTCATGTATGTAGGATTCCAAACACATTTCGACAAATACATAATCATCTTTGAATATGATGCCAACAGCGGCATCACCAGATAACAGAGCCATCAATTGGAGTACAATTCAAGTAAGATAAACTGTTTTATCAAATCTCACTAACAGGCATAGATTTAAAGAACAAAGTCATTTTCCACAAAAGAAGGGACCAAACAGGAGCAAAAAGATTCAAAAGCAAATTGCTTTCAATAATGATATTACAACAATACAAACAGCTGAAATGAAATCATATCATTGTCAGCAAATAGAATCCCAAAAATTTTTGGGAGGGCTCACCATCTTCCCAGAGGCAAAAATCAAAGCTGTAGTTTTTGGCTCCCTTATTCTCATAATTACAGCAGCAAAACGCTGAAAGACCATTGAATTAAAAAGAAGTTAGTATTCAGTACTCCAAAATGTCTAAAGAGACAGAAAATATGCTAACAAAGCCAGACTTTATTGTCAGTATAGTTTCAGGTAAAAACAATGGCCCAAGCAAGACCATTTTGGTAAAGTGAGCTAGCACCACTAAGAACCCTCTATAAAGTATTTTAGAAAAGTGAGCAAGCACCACTAAGATTACCAACATACTACAACAACAACAACAACAAAGCCTTTTCCCACTAAGTGGGGTCGGCTATATGAATCCTAGAACGCCATTGCGCTCGGTTTTGTGTCATGTTCTCCGTTAGATCCAAGTACATTACCAACATACTACTGAAATAAATTATAGTCAAGCTTACAAAAAGCCTTGCATACCTTGGGGTTGTATTCTGCATTTCGAGCTTGCAACGCAATTTGCTTAAGATCCAATTTACAATCCAAGTTAACTGTAGATACGATATTCCTACAAACACAACCAAAACAAGAATAAAGCATGAAACTTCGAAAAACAGAACGTTATTGCTCACAGAAGGGAGGCCTATAGGGTTGATTAAAATGTCTTGATATTATGCATGGGAATAGTCCAAGTTTTATTTTCTTAGGAAAAGAGAACTACTTTAGCTAACAAACAATAGAACTGCAAAAAGAAGACCAGTGATCAAGAAGACCACCATAGAACAAACAAAAAAGAGACTTAACTAAAAACTCTCCAAAATGCAAAGACTACCAAACAGCAGCTTCTGATGACAAGCTCTAACCATAGCTTCATTTCCAATAAGAGACTAATATTTAATGAAATGTTTCTTAGCAAATAAAACTCCAGTCCTACAAGCTTTAGACAAAGAACACAAACACACACAACAAAAAATTCATATAGGTTTGGCTTAAAAAAGAGTCAACTTCCACCTCAAAATTTGAAGAATTTCAATTTTTCAAAAACACAAAAACATCTCACGGATAGAAATGAAACAGTTGAACCCATAAATTTTCATCTCCCCTACCGAAAACCACCATAACCCCATAAAGTGATGATCCGAACATAAGCTTGCGAAACCAATCAGATCGAAACAAACCCACTACGCAAAACTCAATTCAGAAGCCTTGGACATGGATATTGACACGAGAAAACGAAATTAGAAACTTCAAACGAAAGGGGGGAGAGAGAGAGAGAGAGAGAGAGAGAGAGAGAGAGAGAGAGACTTACTGGAGAGTGGGAACGATGCCAGAGGGGTGAATGGAAAGATCTACAGGTTGGCTCTCTTCTAATCCACTTTGATCCCCCATTTCCAGTATCCCACTATAAAGGGCTCCGTCGATTTCACAAAAATACTACTTTACAATAAGCAAATAAATCAAATCAAAGTTTAATTCTTTAATTATTCTTGCGGGTTCCAGGCAATTGGTCTATTGATCATCCTGAATCAGATCTGCACAACCTCCTTTGCTCACAATTTCTGAGCTTTAAACAATCTAGGGTTTCGAAAATACTCGGGAAAGAAAATGAGAAGTTGGGAAATTGAAATCGGAGAGAAGTCGCGGGAAAGTTGGGAAATGGGGGTGGGAAATTTTCAAAACAGATGTTCTTTTATAGGTTTTGATAGAAGAAATTGGGGAGAGATGGGTTTGGTTTTGTATCTCTGAGGAGGAAATGCGAATGCGGGATCATGTGAGAGTTGTGAGAGGAAGGCCTTTCCCTTTTGTTGTCTGGCTCGGCTTCGCCACTTTTTGTCGTTTTCCTATATATAAGGTCCACAGGCTGATTCTTACATTGCCAGTCAATCCCTTGCCATTACCGGAAATTGCCGGTTTGGTCTTGTCCTTGTCTAAGCAAGATAACTGGATAAGGGGTGGCAATTTGAATTATCGAAAATGTTATTCACACATCGATTTTTACATCTCAGGCTCTCACATATTTTTTTTTTTTTTTTGATATTAATCTTCTTCAATCTATTCAATCTTGATGGCCGAAAATTAAGAAGAATATGTGAGAAATATAAATAGGTGTGCAGATAGTACAAATAGGGTTGGCCATTTGAATTATCGAAACTGTTATTCACACATTTATTTTTAATCTCATTTTTCACATTTTTTTTTTATTTTTGATACTGATCTTCTTTAATCTATTCAATCTAATGACTGAAAGTTAAGAAGAATATGCGAGAAATGATCTTCTTTAATCTATTCAATCCGATGGCTAAAAGTTAAGAAGAATATGCGAGAAATCATATTGTTCACAAGTTAGCAAGGTTTGGTCTTTAGCAGCACTCAGTTAATGCCATTTGGTTCAAAGAGCCATAGGATGTCATAACAGATGTCTAAATGACGGATAGGTCTAGTGGTTAACGCTATATATTGTGTTTCTTTGTAGCAAGACACTCTTTTTTTTTACCTTAAACTCGGGTTGAATGTCCGACAAGATTTATTTCGCATAGTCACTCTATTTTGTAGTATTTACCTTCTTTTTCGCATAGTACTCCCATAACCTTTCCTTTTTATCCCTCATTTTTATGTGTACTTAGTTTGCTCATATCTAAAACTTAAAAAGTAAAAATGAAAATGAAAAAACGAAATGGTAATGAACCGAGCACTTACAAATTACAATCAATTTCAATTACGTTAACACTTAAGAATGAATCCAATACATTAGCACTTAGAAGTTACCCCCTTAATAAAGTCTCTTACAAAATGTGACCAATTGTATACAGCAAGAACTTGCCTCGTCTCTTTTATTTAGTCATTGACTCAAACACCACATGCCTTACAGTTGTTAACTTGTTATTATAAACATAAAAAAAAACATAACACCAAGTCTTTGTTTATAACTATGTCAATAGCTCAACATATTATATAGGATGCGCGTATCTTCTGCTTCCTTGTTCTTTCTTATAATCTCCTCCTCTTTTTTTCCATCCTCACACATCCATCTTCTGCTCTTCATTCAATCTGCTCTTCTTATATTTTCAGGTTTCTAATTGCTTCCATATATATGAGCATGGATAATACTTTTATACGCAATTTATTGGGGGGGGCCGCTGCTAAGATTGCTTCCCAGATGCCATTGGCTGCCGGGTTTCTTACTTTTGTGTGCATTGAGTGCTTTGTGGATCAACTGGTTGCTCCGATCAAACCCTTAATCGGCCAGTACTTGGCCAAGTATTTACTTGCCTGCAGTGGCCCCGTGGTCTCGAGATACTTGGACATTTACGTTGTTTACATCCTAAGCTACAAATCCAACGTCGACAACCTACTGAAACAGCTCAAGAAGCTTAAGGCCACACGAGATATGGTGATCCAAGTCGTCGAAGATGCAAAAAGGAAGGGAGAAGTGGCGGTCACAGCTGAAGTCGAGAAGTGGTTGAGCAGTGTCGATAGGCTGACCGAAGAAGCCGCCCGGTTTTTCGTATACAAAGGGGACGAAAACAGCGGGTGGTTCCGTTGGTTGTACGGTCTGTTGATGTCGAGATTCCAATTGAGCAAGAAAGCAAAGAAGATGATAGAGCTTCTCGTTCAGCTTCAAGCAGATGGAATTTTTGCTACTGTTTCTAATTAATTGCTTGAATTATTATTTTTGTTTGTAGTAGTGATTGCCCAAAACAATTTGAATTTAAGCGTTTGTGGATGTGATTCAACAAATAATATTCAGTCTCGAGAAATTATAATGGCGTGTTTACTAATCCGTAATCAAAAAATCAAAATCTGATTCCAAAATTCACAAAAGTTATTGAAATCACAAGACAAGCAGCCAATAAACACAAAATGCTTGAGTTGATATGACAAATCCACAGTTGATCCGCACAGCATCCTTATCACCTTTTTCTCCTGCTAAACACATGGATTATTCATCTTCTAATTACCCTACTTCTTGTTGTAGTTTGCTGCAGCACTAGTACAAAACTATTAGTGTTCGGGTGAAGATTTCTCAGACGGCTCCTTGGCTCTCAGCACAGCTCCACAAGGGTTCGTTACTTTGGATATGTAGTCGGGCTCTTGTTTGTTAATGTGCTACAAGAAGATGACAAAGTTAGTTCCAAAAGGTGCCTTTGTCGAGCCTTAGGTGTAGGCATTGAGGTTCACAATCAAAACTAACTAAGAGCTAGGCGTACCATTGCTATCTTAGTATAGCAGATGTAGAACAAGAGTGTGTTTAGTCAATTACTTGCGCCCCAAGTTACTCGGACTTCTTGTTATCAAAGGATTGTCGTGGATGGGTTAAGTTCACATTAAGTTCTTTTTCTTGCCTTGTGACTAAGGACTTTTAGTTCATAGTCTTGTATGTTTGAATGAAGGGAGTCCATATCTGCTTTAAACCATTTAGCCATTTGCTTGGTTCTTGATTGATTTTAAGGATAACATATCTATTAAACTAACCAGATCTAGACATAAATGACACTCTTAAAGTAGGAAAATAGGTGGATATGACTTGAATACATACTGAAGAATGCATTACGTAATAGATCTATAAATTCATAAAACAAACAAAGAGTTTCGGGCAAGATTTCACCTTGTCTGTCAAGGTTGAACTTCTTGTAGTCACTTCTCTTTGTGATTACAAAGGTTTATATGTTAAAAAGGGATGGATGGTAAACAAGTTTACACAAGGGAATCGATACTACACTATTGAGGGAGGTAGCAGAGTTTTTAAATTAGAGAAAGATAGGCTTTCTAAGGAGATCTAAACAAGAGATAGCGTGTTGCTAAAAAATCTAAGATTTGGGCTGATTATAGCTTTTGGATGCAAATCTAGCTTGAGAGCAAAGTTTGTAAGTTTGTAAGTTTGTTGTTTGATTGGTTGAGTGTTCTTGTCTATGTGCCTTTTCCTCCTTTGATAGGCGAATTAGCCCGACTGCTGTGACCTTGCTCTTGTCCGAAAGCATTTGGAGGGTAGTGACTCATCATATTTTTACTTGTATTGCCACTAAAAAATGTTTTTTGGTTGATTGTGAGTTAGTTTTCATCACTTGACATTTAAATCATAGATACATGGTCTATGCATTAATGGGGAGGCGCAAATTTATCTCTGGACTTGGTGCTAAGCTTCGGGCAAGTTTTCCTTTAATTGGCATCTCTGGGCTTCCTCACACTTGCAGCTCAAAGTTCAAATATTAACCCAAACAATTAGTAATAGTAATAATAATAGCCGCAAGAACAAGGAGAGAATTCCTAGTTGCAGTAGTGGCTTCAAGTTCAATCCCACTCCCCTACCAATTACTATCATCGGATGCAACTTATGCTATTGGTTTGGAAAGATCAGATTTCTTTACCAGGTTGCCAAATTTTGTCAAGTTTAGGGATCATTCCTCCCGACTTTAGCGTGAAAAACGAATCTCAAATCAGTAAATTATGGCAGCAAGTGGCTGGCTGGAGACCGAAAAATCAAAACATTGGCAACCAAGCAGATACAACTCAGAGAAAATATTGAAGAAGAAATGGAGGGTGAAGAAGATGACAACTATAGGCATTTAAGAGACCAAATGAGTCGAATATACATCAGTGCACCTACCGACTTCACAATCATTGACAGGGTACTACTTTCACTAGCTAAATTCCTCCTATATTTCACTTATTCAGTTTTTGGTAGCAAGTTCATATATTTATGAATTGTGATGAAGCAGAGTAGAAGAAACTCAGTTGTAGTAGGAACAGATGGGTTTGATTAACTATACATGTTCAGTCCTTCCTCAAGCCATGAAGACTATGGCAAGTAGGCCTACATGTGTCGACCAATCTGCAGTGCTCAAACTAGTAATCGAGCGTCCTAATGAATCATGGAGGGGCGGACAGCGCTTACACAACCCCAGTATGCATATTTTCTTGGTATGACTCTGCTCTCATATTCTAAGCTTTGGTGTAACAAACGAATATGCTAGGGACTCTTGAGATTGTGTATTAAACATATAAAAAGTAGCTCTTGCTTATGTTGGTTTGAATTTCGAAACTCCAATTTGTCTCAGAATGCGAAAGATTACAACTTTCAAATACCCTCATGAAAGACATTGCTAGCCACAAAAATATAGGCTTAATTGGAAGAAAAGAACACAATTTTCAAAAGCAATCAAGTATACAAGCAAAAGCAATGAATAAGCATTTCCTCAATAACAAAAATTCTTCAGTTCTCTTCTGTACATTAATCATCCACATCTGGCTGGAATGGTTAAATTCTAGGGTTACAGAACATATAGAGAGATTCTCCTGTCTACAACCATTTTTCACTTCATCAAAAGAAATTGATCCGTCAGATTGTTTAGACTAAGTTCGAACAAGAGAATGAGTACATTAAACTGGAACTAGATGGTAACCATGTCATTCGCCTTGATCATTAATCCAAAGGAGTGGCATAGCTACTGCAAGTAGAGCAAAAGAAACACCACAAAACAATTTAACAGCAGCCTTTTGACAGGGACTTTTTATGTTTTATTTTCTGGAACCGCCTCATGAGATATTTTGTTTTCTGGAACCACCTCATGAGACACCTGCAAATCAGCATCTGTTGGAATGCCATCTGTTGATGACACTGATTCAGGACCACCTTCAAACTTCTCACCGCTGCCATAGAAGCTACCATGCTTTCCGTCATCATAATTTGCACCATATGAATAACCATTTTGATCGTATCTGGCATTTGGGCTCCAATCAAACTCGTTCATGGATAAACTTCTAGATCTTCTCGCTGGTTTCTTGGAGAACTTTGAGTCGGCATTATTTGGTTCCTGAAGAGAGTGAACAAGCCTTCTCGGAGTATTGAAGATGATGCTGTCCACATTGAGTGGAGTGCGAGACCTCTGAGAGTCTGAAGCACATGAGAGGCAATATTGGTCAAAATCAAGACCATAACATGCAATACCATCCCAAGATTAATAATAAACAAGGAAATCATAAAATTGGCAGATTTGAATAAAAGTAAAGTTTCAGTCGAGTAAGCACCATTCCTTTGTCGGAAATAAAACATTCATTGGACAAATTAACTACTTAAGCTGTTACGAATAACGGTAACCAACACATTTTATGGAATTAGATCAGGAAATTATGAGTTTGAATCCCTATAATTTCCTCCTCTCAGCATAAGTTGAATTCCACATCTTGGGCTCTAATGGCGAGGAGCGAACCACCTGTGAGGGGGAAGACATAAAACGAGTGCTGGTTCATGTCCTTTGCTTAAGGTTTTGGGATATAAATTCCCCCAACAAACTTTGTCGACTATGACATACCATGCCATCCCAAAGATTGGCACTCTTTTCTGAAATGCAAAGCTTTTTAGCAGAGATAAGTTTCCAAAGAGTTAAACACGATAAGCATTTTGGGCTATCAATACTACTTTTACAATCCAGCAAGCAATTTATTCACTCTGTTGTTGCATTACTTTTAGTTAAACTTTTTACCCATACTCCAAATTTAGTTGGTAACTACTTCTACCCCATAACAATCAAATCAGAAATTGCAACTTCAAATCAGAAGAAAAATAATACCAAATGTACATGTGAAACTTACCCAAGGACTAGTTGTGGTGCTTCTTGATACTCCATTTTTAGGATTTGTTTGCTGGAACCCGTAAATTCCTCATTACTATCTCCTTCACATTTCACGAATTCATTAATCCCAGGGTTACCTGGATATCCATTTGAGTAGGCACTACCCTGAGCAATCTCCGAGAAGAAACCATCCTTGAGAGACACATCAACTCCTCCATTCTCATGACTCCAAAGCTTCCGGTTTACACTCCTACAATCATAAATTGAGTTTCGGCTACACTGACAACTCATTGTTATAGGTGTCTCAACAAATGAGTCGTATTCAGCAAAGGAATCTAGAGTCTGTGATTCGGATGACATTGATGCATGAGAATGGTCGCTGGCAGTTGATAAGTTTCGCTTCCTGCTATGGTCTCTCCAACTAAAATTTGACCCACTGGTCGAACCAGGAGCCTTTTCAAGTTTTGAACCTTTACCTGCAGCTATTTGCCTTGCCGTTTACAGAGCTTCAAAGGCAGCCCTTGAGACATAAGCCATCCGAACAGACTGACACTTCCCCATTTCTTCAATTATCAACTCATAAAAAATCAGAGATAATGCTCCAAGGATCCAGGCACTTCATCAAGAAATTCACCATTTCGATAGCTGACAGCCGTTTCTAAGAATTCCCCTCCTCTACACCAGTATCCAATATCCGGATTCCAGCTTGAATCCTCAACATAGCATATGGTTCAACAATTACTGCATTATGCTTCGCAAGGGACATGACCACACGGTCCAGACCCATGTGTGCATTTGTCTGAGTGGACTTCTCCTCCAAAGCTCCAGAAACATTCTGACAGACCCTATTTACCATCTCATCCAAAGAAAAACGCCAATTATCTGAATCAACAAGGGCCCTCTTAAGCAAAGGGCAGCTCCAGAAGTGAAGCTCTCTTGAGAATCCAAGAGGGAATCCGAAAGAGGAGTGCAAAGTGAATGAATAATGTGCCTCTTCCTGTCTTCAGGGTTGGTTGGGTCAATCCCATATAGAGCAATAGCTCGGACAACCTTTGAGCATGCCTGTTGAAGAGGGAAAGACCCTGCACTCGAAGCCAAGGTCTTCATTATGGTGGTCATGATGCTATTTATTAGAGGGACTTGTAGACATCGAAATTTCGGTAAATAAATGTTGACCGATAAATCAAAGTTTCAACGCTCATGTATTACATAAATTTTACACGTAGCGAGTGTCTAAACAAAAAAATCAAAATAAGTTGGAAAAGTCATCAAACAGGACACGTGTCAACACCTGGCAGAAACGACTTATTTCATCTGGAATATTATATTCAAAATTAGGCCTTGGAAATTTCTATAAATAGAAGGCTAAATCATTCATTTGAGAGAACCAAAATCATTAAGCAAGCTCTGAAGCTCTGAAACTCTGAAGCTCTCAAGCATCCAGGTTCCCGAAGAATCAAGAAAGCTCTCTTCGTTCTTCGTGCTTCGTTCATCGTTCATCCTAAGATCAAGCCCCAACGGCCCTTTGGATCAACAATCATCCACCAATTCAAGATCAAGCCCCGACGGCCCTTGAAGAAAGTGTTCTTCGTTCTTCGTTCTTCGTTCTTCGTTCATCGTTCTTCGTTCATCGTTCTTCCAAGATCAAGCCCCGACGACCCTTGGATCAACCATCCACCAATTCAAGATCAAGCCCCAAAGGCCCTTGAAGAACTTCCACCAATTCAAGATCAAGCCCCGACGGCCCTTAAAGAAAGCACCATCGTTCATCATCCGTTCATCCAAGATCAAGCCCCAACGGCCCTTTGGATCAACAACGTTGACAAATCCACACATCCAACCGTTCTTCAAGATTAAGCCCAAAAGCCCTTGAAGATCCGTTCATCACTGTTCTTCAAGATCAAGCCCAAAAGCCCTTGAAAATCCGTTCATCACCGTTATTCAAGATCAAGCTTTAACGGCCCTTCAAGAAACATTCGTCCTCAAGATCAAGCCCCAACGGCTCCTTGAAGATCCACTCAAATCCACCTTCAAAGATCAAGCCCACGGCCCCTTGAAGAAACTTCCAACAGTTCATCCAAGATCAAGCCTCAACGGCCCTTGGATCAACGAAACATCCACAAATCAACACCTTACAGAGATCGAATCAGAGGATCAAAATAGAGAGATTGTAACCCAAAATCATCAAATACAAATATTTGTTTGTGCACGTTGTTCTTGTCTCTTTCGTTTCAGGAATTTTCAGTGTTCACAGGACTATTTTAACACCGTGAACATGAGCAAGAACTTCTTACAGTGAAATAGTGCAGTCTCCAGATAAAGAACCAGTAAATCTAGCCTCCACAAGAAATAGATCAACACCTGCAAATATTTTACGACCATAAATAGCTATACGCGATGTATAAATGACCATGGTGAAAATAAATCACCAATATGGATAAAGCAATTATAAGGTTACCTAACCAATTTCTACTTAAGTCTCATGCAAGACTACTTAAAAACAGTTTAATAAAAAAAAAGTTGAGCTTTGAAGGGATCCACTCACAGAGATCATAGTGCATGTCTCTATTAATTAAATAGGAGCATTGCCTTTGTCCAAGTTGTTCAGTAGGTGGTGGTGGTTGGTCACGGTGGAGTTAGAGAGCGTGAGAGATCTCTAGAGTTAGAGAGAAGGAGAGCATGCAGAAATGAGGAAGGAGGACGAAAGTGCAACCGTGAGTGGGATGTTAACCTACTTAAAAATTCCCCCATGGAAATTACCATTTTCCATTCGCTTCTCAAAATTTATAACTCTGACTCTCGTTACTCCGAATTCGATTCTGCTTTCGCCTATGCAGTCGTGAGTATGAAAACTAATTTAGTAAAATAGAAAAGCATGAGAAATTGAAGTTAAACTCAGAGGTCACCATGATAGGGGCATTTTGGTCATTTCACACTCTTGAACAAATACAACATGTATAAATAGGACCTCACTCTTCCATCCACAAAACCCCCGACCTAAATACAAAGGAAGATCATCGTAGCCAAAATGTCATGGCAGGCCTTCACTTACCTGACCTTGTTACGCACAAAATCATCCAAATTCTCCCCACCAAAGCAGCGGTTCGAATGAGTTTTATTTCCAAGCAATGGGCAGGTGTGTGGTGTTCAAGCTCCGTATTAGATTTCAACGAGGGTGGTTATGAGGAAAGCCTTGATTGTCAAGACAACCTAGGTGATCAACATAGAAAGTTCATCAACAACATCTTGAAAAGATATTTGAAATTTTGCGGGCATGATTAGCAAAAGAAACTGAGGTTAGATAAATTGAGGCTTCATATGACGGGGTACTTGGTAACAGAAGACACTACCATTGTAGATGAGTTATTGAGTTGTTCGTTTGAGAGAAATGTCAAAGAGTTAGATATCAACCTTCGGCTTTGTAGATTAGTTCAGAGGAATTGGCATGAGAAGAAAAACTACTATTGCTTATCTCAAACGACCTTTCTTGATGCAAAATCTACTACCCTTTGTTTGGAGGCCACGATCAATACTCCGAATCTGAATTCTGTACATTTCATTGGTTACTTAATGTCCAAGATTTCTTTGAAAGCTCCAAATTTATGCAAGGCTACCATCTTACTGTGTGACTTTTGGGACGTACAATTTCCGACCGCCTTTAATGGGGCATGGAAACATTTACCTGTACTGGCAGGGTTTTTTTAAAGAATTTGGTCGCTCCAAGAATCTAGACCTCATTGTTGCTGCTTTTAAGAATGTTATATTTCCAACAGAATTCAGAAGCACCAGCTCTTGTGCAATATTGCCTGGTCTCAACAACAATCTTGCGCTCAAGGTATCAAATTATCTTGAAACGGATTAGATATTTCTGAATTGGAGGACTCTTTGGCTTGGATTGCACCTTCTGCATGGGATATTTCTGTCAACAAAATCTTTGGAACGATACTTTTTGAATAGTGAATAGATAGAAAACATGAGTTGCCTCAGAGTTCTCGTGAGTGCAGCTTCACCAAGGACAATTAAGATGTTTAGACCTGATTTTGTTGGAGCAATATTAGAAAATATGAAAAATAACAATATAATTCCAATGATAATAATCATAAAGAAATTCACAACATCAATTATATATGAGATTAATATAAACAACTAGAGTGAAAGTTAGAAAAACTGACAACTTGGAGATTGAGGCTTGCATAAATGCAATGTCCTAAAGATAGAATTTCGCCCCTACTCTTGTGCTTGTAGTTCAATAGGCGTCTATCTCCCAGGATTCAACAATCTATAATCCGAAGTCAAAGCACTTCAATCTTCGGACTCTGGCGAACTTCATATATTCCATACTCTCAAGACACGACTCGGAATTTGACACACGGAGCATGAAAGAAACAAAGTGGGGAAACCCTATTTCTCAAGAGTAAAAATTAACTCTAATTTTTCTATCTAATGATGATGGTTTCGTAAGTTTATATAGAACCCAAGTACTTCTTGTTAAAGTGATGTAACTTTTCATCTATAAGTATACATCATTTAACAAGGGAATGCACCTAAATAACATAACTTTTCTAAAAAATATGGTTAACACTTTTTCATTCAATTATTAAAATTATATATTACAATATTTCATATTATAATATATAATTTCTAACAATCCCCCACATGAATGAAAAATTAGGAAGAATTTGAGAGTACAGGCGGACAAGAGATGCATCGGGAGAGGTGTCTTTTGGACTTGAACCTACCCTAGTGAATACTTATCGGATTTACTTGGTGATGCAGTGAATATAGAATCTTGAACTGTTCACCGCAGCAGTAAACCGAGACAATAAGCAACACACATCACTAATCCTAATATATTACAGTTCATACGGTTGTGTTCATTTTGGTCCTAACAAATCCCGGATTCATGAGAGCTTTAGAGAATTTAGCCATCTCATTCTCATAGAAGCGACCCACTTCTACTCTCACATTGGTGACCACTGATTAAGAATAGTCTGCTCTATTCCTCTTATTTATAAGATATCATTGTCATTAAGTATAAATATACAACCTAAAACTTCTGCAGACAACACATTTCTTCCACCATAGGAATGAGGTATATAGTGTGTTAATTTCTTTGAATCATGCCCAACCAGTTTGCCTATTGAACTTAGACTATGGGATCTCCAATCAACTAAGTTAGGTTTCCGCTCGGCTGATTCATTAGTTATGTTGGCTTTAGCCTCATTTCCCTCGATGATCAACTTACTCTCTAGTCTAACCTTTAAAAATTGGATCCACCACTAGGTTGACTGTCATTAATGGTGTGCACAATTCATCTTATGAAATTATATTTCATACGAGAGTAGTTGTTTGACATTGTTTGAAAATGTCAAGTCCTCAAAATTATATTAGGACTTAATTACTGAGTAATTCACTAACACTTGGGTAAATGCCCCCACATTTAAGGTACTTTCCAGAAGGTCTCTAACCTTTCAATGCCTTAAAATACCATTGTAAGAGATAATCTTTATCTCTCTCTATATGCAAATTACTTTGTCATTCTTCTTAAGTTGACATATTATCCAAAGATGACTATGTCATTCCCCCACAATTTACTTACATTGGGTTCTGTCACTAGCCCTTATGTAGAATATTTAAAGTTCTTTTGGCTAGTGCCTTACTATAGGATGCTTTATCCTTACGAAGTAGGTCTTGACGTCCACGATTCAATCGTCAATGTTTCAAGTCAAACTCTATGATTGACAAAGAACCACAACCTTTTTTGTTATACAACTCAAGTCAAATTCATTGACTTCCGATTACTAACATAGATCAGGACTTTCAGTCTACGGGCATTGCATACTTTTTATCAGAAAATATAGATAACTATATTTCTGTCAATTGAATATGAATGTGTGTAACTGCAATGTTGTGCAATTACTTGCACCATCTCAGAAAGCAATGTACTCGGGATTTATGCAGACCTTGATTTCTGCAAACAGAGTGGCAATTCTTTGCACTTTCTGGAACAGCTACCATGTAGTGGCCTGATCACACCACTCTCTTCCGAACAGCACCACATTTGTGATGGAATGGTTACACTATGGAAATCGCACCAAATGATACATACGAAGTGATCATGCCTTTTCGTTAAAT